AAGCACTGCTCTATTATCCTTTTGTTTCCAGAGTTGCTACTGAGAAGTGCAACACATTAACCTTTGTGTGATTCACATGAAACCTGTTACTCTTCATCTCTGAAGAAGTCCAGAAAACTGCATGGGGACCCCTTAAACATTTTATACGTACAGCAATCTTAATAAGATCCCCAAGAGACACATATGATTAGCACTGACAAACTACAATATCAGATTGATCATGCAGCCCTGCCACTGTGAAAAACAAAGTACAGTTATAATAAAAAGATGTGCTAATAGTAATGTAAATAATTATGACAATGATAAACACTACAATAAATGATACAACTGTGCGTGTTTATGTGCCAGGTGGGTTTAGTTGCTTTATATGTATTAATTCACTAAATTTGTACATACAGTACAACCTTTATAACCTATCTATCTATTTTAAAGTAGCTTTAAACTTTCTTTTAATGTTTGTTTATTTTTTAAGAAAGAGAGAGAGACACAGAGTGTGAGCAGGTGAGGGGCAGAAAGAAAGGGAGACGCAGAATCTGACGCAAGCTCCAGGCTCTGGGCTGTTAGCACAGAGTCTGAAATGGGGCTTGAAACAACGAACTGCGACCTCATGACCTGAGAAAAAGTTGGACGATCCAGACACCCAATATTGTCTATATTTTTAAAGGCTAAATATACCTTGGCAGAGCCAGAATTCTAGTCCAAAGAGTCCAGTTCCAGAGTCAGTGGTCTTCACTGTTACGATATACTACCTTCCAAATGGGTGGCAGTAGTTTTTTGTTGTTATATTGCTTTTTTTTTTTTTTAAGTTTATTTATTTTGAGAGAGAGAGGAGAAAGAGTTAAAGAGAGAATCCCAAGCAGGAGATTTGACGAGGGGCTTGATCTCACAAAACGTGAGATCATAACCTAAGCAAAACCATGAGTTGGATGCTTAACCAAGTAAGCCACCCACGCACCACCTAAATTTATTATTATTTTCGTTTTAGAGAGGGAGAGAGAATGCGAGTAGGGAGAGAGGATAAGAGAGAGAGAAAATCCCAAGTAGGCTCCGTGTTTAGCACAGAGCCCAACATAGGGCTCAATTCCACTACCCTGGGATTATGACCTGAGCTGAAACCAAGAGTCTGACTCTCAACCGACAGGGCCAACGCAGGGTGCCCTGTTATATTGCTTTGAAAAAGCTTTTCTTGGGGGCCCTGGGTGGCTCAGTCGGTTGGGCGTCCGACTTCGGGTCGGGTCATGATCTCACTCACGGTTTGTGGGTTCGAGCCCCGCGTCGGGCTCTGTGCTGACAGCTGGCTCAGAGCCTGAAGCCTGTTCCAGATTCTGTGTCTCCCTCTCTCTCTCTGACCCTCCCCTGCTCACGCTGTCTCTATCTCTCTCTCAAAAATAAATAAAACATTAAAAAAAAAACTTTTCTTGACAAAATAAAACATTGGGGAACCTACATTTTCTCATTAAAAAACCTTAATAGTTGGTGAAATCTAAAGGTCTGAAGAGTATCAGTTTCTGTGGCCAGTAGAGAGCAAGAAAAATGAAAATCTGAGAAAATACCTGATGAACCTCCAGAACACAGAGTGCAGAAGATAAGGAGAGAAGGGCTGATGCTAGTTATAGGGCGAAATACAGCCATCCTCAGAAATGCTGGTGAGGAGAGCTTACCTGTTAACTAGAATTCAAGGTCATCGAAGCTCAAAATAAATCTGGTGGGAACAATTAGAAGGTTTAATAAATAAGTAGTGTAAAATAGTGAAGATTGGGAGAAATGGAAAAAGTAAATAAACCCAGGAATGGACTACCAAACTAGAAAAACAGACATAGTTTCAACACTAAATATCTTGATAAAGTCAAAGAATAAGTTTCATAGGAGTAAGGGAGTGGAAGATGTATAAACAAACATACAAGGTTGTGGCCAGAAGGTAGCCAGAAGGTAGCATTTCTGAACTTAAGATCTCAAAGCAAGAGTAAAGACTCATTCATTGCTGCTGCTGCTGCTAGTAACCATTCATTAAGCACACAAAATTATATCAGTCATAACAACCATTAATAAATATCATATTACAGGGTCGCATGGTGACTGCTGGTTAAGTGTCTGACTCTTGGCTTTGACTCAGGTCATGATCTCATGGTTCGTGAGTTGGAGTCCTGCATCGGGTTCTGTGCTGGCAGTGTGGAGCCTGCTTGGGATTCTCTCTTTCCCTCTCTCTCTGCCCCTCCCCCCCCCCCCCCCCCGTGTACACACACTCGCTTTCTCAAAATAAACTTAAAATATAAATGAAACAAGATTTAAATTTTATTTTTTAAGATTTAAATGTATTTTTTTAAAAAATGTTAGAGAGAGAGAGAGAGAGAACGCGTGTGCGCACACAAAGGAGTGGGGGAGGGAAAGAGAGAGAGAGACAGACAGACAGACAGAATCTGAAGCAGGTTCCAGGCTCTAAACTGTCAGCACAGAGCCCAAGGCAGGCTCGTACCCATGAACGGTGAAATCATGACCTGAGCCGAAATTGGATGCTTAAATGACTGAGCCACCCAGGTGCCCCTAAATTTATTTTTTTAATGTGTATTTATTTTGAAAGAGTGAGAGACAGTGTGCACACATGCCAGTGGGGGACAGAGCACCCCAAAGAGGCTCTGCAATGTGGGGCTCAGTCCCATGAATTGTGATCATGACCTCAGCTGAAATTAAGAGTCAGATGCTTAGCCTACTAAGCCACCCAGGAGCTCCATAAGATTTAAATTTTAAAGTAAAAAGACTCTAAAAAAGTATTCCTTATAATACACAATCAGAATTTTATTGGTGGGGTTAGGAACTATCTCCGTTTATACATTAATATAGTTCACATTATGCATCTTCTCTAAATCTCTAAAGGAAGGAAGGAAGGAAGGAAGGAAAGAAAGAAAGAAAGAAAGAAAGAAAGAAAGAAAGAAAGAAAGAAAGAAAGAAAGAAAGAAAGAAAGAAGGAAAGGGAGGGAGGAGGGGAAGGAGGAAGGAAAGAAGGAAGATGGATGGATCACAGACTTCCATTTACTATATTTCTTCTACTTGGAAAGAGCAAACCAGCTTTCTACATAAAGTGTCGCAAAAGAACTACATACTCTATAATTCCTTTTACAAGAAGTTTAAGAACATTCAAAGCAAGACAGAGAATAGCAGAGGTGGTGGTGGTTGTGGTAGGGGGACATGATTGGAAGGGGCCCAAAGAAGCTCTCTCAGGTGTTGGATAGATTATTCTGCATATATTGATCTGTGCAGTGGTCACACCAAATTGTACTTTTGATGCCTTAGCATTGTACTATGCTGTATCTCTTAACTGAAGTACTTATATTTTAATTCCTTCAAAGAAAACCTATAGAAGCCTAAAGAATCTCACTCAACACAGCTTGTTTTGCCCTTGTCAAGACCACAAAGCCTTTAATTGAGAAACAAATATTTAGTGGCTGTCTTCAAGCTTTTCGGCCCTTAATTTCCCTCACTCCTAACACACTCCTACCTCAATCATCTCCCCAAAGATATTTCTACATCTGATCAGCAGAGATTAACGATAACCTCTAACAGAACAGTCCAGAGGACAAGGATGTTTGAGAATATTATATTCAGAATAAACAAGCTTCTTTCACTAAACCAAAAGTAAGTTCCCAAAAAGAAAGGGAGAGGAAATCGTAATGTAAACAACCCTCGTATCATCACTTTGTATATAACCTTCTATATTGCTCTACTTCATGAACCTGTATCTAAGCATTTTCATAGACTTTCCAATGTAATTGTATTTTGAACAGAGTAAAATGATAGAAAATTGGGTTTATCTCAATTTGAATTCAACTAACTCTCTTACTGACAGTTATTTTAATTTTTTTTTAGTGATAAACCATCACAGATATTAAAGAGTCCAGAGAATGATTTTTTTTACTTTAAAATGTCTTCCTTTCCTCACTTTAAAATGAAAATAACAAAGGAAAAATAAAGAAGAAAACGTATTTATTACAACTAGCTGTTAACATTGTCACACAAAATGAAATACTGGATCATGATAAGTTCGTTGGTATTATATATTAATAGTCAGGTGGAGCTCAGAACTGTAAGGAGGCATCTTATTAAGTTATGACACCAGAAACGCAACACGCAATCACCAAGTGCATTACTATGTATATTTCACTTCGGTAAAAATAGGAAACAAAGTCATGTTAAGGAAGGTGTTGCAAGGAAGTGAAGCGGTCTCCTTTCACTCTTCAGTTTTTTAAAAGACATAAAAATGAGTAAAATTTAAAGATCTTCACGGATACTTTAGCTTGTAATGAAATCCTGCATCATAAAAGTTGCCTGAAAGGTTTATATTCTTCTACACTTTCCTAGTTTCAGTTATAACCGAAAAAAGAACTGATGATCTGCAGAAGGAACTCAAAGTATCGAAAGGAGAGCTATCACGGGTCCTATCTAAGCGGCAAAAAACCTCTCAGGGTTGCACAAAACTGCCAAGTGGCAAAGCTTAATTTAAGCAGTTCGTAGCATAGGTATTTTAACTTTTTTTTTCTTTTTAAACCTGGCTTGTAGGGGGGGAAAAGGGGAGCTGGGCACCGCAAGGTAGAGGGTGCCTTAGATGAGTATGCAATGCTAGGGCCAAGGCACCCAACCGGTTCCAGGAAGGGGTCGGGGAGAGGGGGGCCGAAGTAAAAAGCAACGCCAGGAGAAACTCACTTTTGAAAGGCACTTTCCGGCTACACAGCACTCTCACATGCTTTATCTCATCGGACACAGTATCCTTTCTGCTGGCCTCCAGCGTCTACAGATGGGAAGGGCCCAGCGAGAACGCAGGGCCTCTCTAAAATCGAGTTTCCAGGGAGGGCCGCCCTACTCATCCATTCCCGCGGCTCCGCACCTCGCGGCCGCGCGCGCCCCCTCAGCGTCCGCGGGGCGCGCACGTCACTCGCTCGCTGCCAATCGGCGCCCAGCAGGTCACCTCTCCTCAGGGGGCCCAGCGCCGCCCCTCCTGCTGGTTGCTGGACGCAGGCCGCGACGCCCACCGGCCGCTTCTGCTCTGGGCGCAGGCGCGGCAGCGCAGCCGGAGAGCGGCGCGGGCTCGGAGGGGAGTGGACGCTGCTCGCGAGGATGGTGCTGGAGAGCGTGGCCCGCATCGTGAAGGTGCAGCTGCCCGCGTATCTAAAGCGGCTCCCTGTCCCCGAGAGCATTACCGGGTTCGCCCGGCTCACAGGTAACCCTCGCCTTCAGCCGGCCCCCATCCTTGCAAGTTTCTCAAGGTGGGAGGCGGGGGTGGTCTAAACATCCTCCGGCTAAGGGGCGGGGCGGAGCTTGGCGAGTGGCGCGTTACCCCTGATCCTGTGCGCAGAGGGCGGGGGTGAGCGCTGGCGCAGCCGCCGTGGAGCGCGCGTGATTCCACCTCTCGGTTCTTGGGGGCCCTGTGGCGTCTTCCTAGTGGCTCTTCCGTGTCCTTCCGTGAAGGGAGACCAGGTTTTTTCAGAGAAGGTGCTGAGTTGGTGAGGGGCCCTTATTTTTCATCTCCATCGGTCTCTGCAGTGTGCTTTTTATTTTAAAGTCGTCGTTATCAGAGGTGCTGTGAGTTAGGCATTTCCAGCTCTCGGCTCTGTTTTACCCACAACTTGTGTGTGCGTGGGAGAGAAACAGGCACGCAATACGTCTGTGGAAGCTTTATTTGATAACAAAATTGGAGAGTAGCCTCCATTCCCATAGGGAAGTCTTGAACTACCCCGGGGCATTTTAGGTCAACTTCATTACCGTGGGCCAGGGCAGTTAGGGTAACTTGAGGAAAGCAGTTAGCCAGAAGGTGTTCAAAGGCTAGTACGATGAACCAGATCTTAGAAAATGAAATTTGATGACTGTTTGTAACATTCTGTGCTTACGATCCCTCCTCTACAAAAAAACAACTCACAACTCAGGATTTCATAGCAAAAGAAAGAAAATTTCCAGAATGCAGTCAACACTTGGGAGACTTTGTTGGGATTGTTAACAGTAGAAGTAGGGTATTTGTAAACCAGACCGAGACTGATTAGGGTGGTGAGAGAGAGAGAAAAAAAAAAAAACCCACCATATTGATTTGGCAAACTTTGAACTCATGTCTTGAATGTCAGGGAATGGAACAGGAAATAAGACAATTTTGAGAGAAGTAGGGTTGCTTACCCTGGAACGGTCTGGAGTTCTATGGTAGCTGACGTAAAACATAGCATTTGGAAGGCTTACTGGTGGAAGAACAATAAAATTTATTCTGTCTAGACCAAAAGACAGACCTAGGAACAAGTCAGTGAAAATTACTGGGAGATGGATTTCACCCCCAACACAGCGAAGGTTTTGTTTGGTTGTTTTTTTAAGAGAATACCATCCCTAAAAAAGGAACAAGTCTTTAAAAAATGTAAGTAGTCCAGTAATAGATTTAGATGCAGTGTACTGGATAACATTCCAAATCTGGAGATTCTTTGAATTATGGATTGGTCGGAAGCATGTAATTTTTTTTTAAGTTTATTTCAAAGGGGAGGCGGAGGGGGATAGAAAACCGGAAGCAGGCTTCAGACTGACAGTAGAGAGCTGGATGTGGGGCATGAACTCACAAACCCTGAGATCATGACCTGAGCCAAGTGGGATGCTTAACCGCTTAAGGAACTGAGACACTCAGGTGTCCCCTGCAAGCATGTAATTAAATAGAAAGTATAGTAACTGAATAATTAACGTTAAAAGAAATATCTAAACATCAAAAGCAGCATAAAAGTAACAAAATGAAAAAAATGTGTCAAATCAACTATTTGTAAACGTCAAAGTCTTCTTTTGATCCTATTATTCTGATGGATTTTCAGCAGTTATATAAAATTTTGACGTTTTAAAAACCCTTTATCATTGCTTTTACTTTAGAACTTTATATATTTTAACGTGTTCTTCATCTTTTCTAACAACTATAAAATCTTCTTTTAGTTTAACATCATGGTACACTTAACCATTCCCCTGCAGCTGGAAATTTGGAATGTTTGTATGTGTATATATTTTATTCATAATAATCAGTGGTTAAGTAGCCCTGTACCAATTGTTAGCTTTTTCTCTTTTGAATTATACCCCCTGAATGTATTCACCAAAATAGTAATAAAGAATATGATCATTTTGTGACATTTGTTCCCAGTTGCCAACTTATATTAATAATTTGTATAAATTGCCAAGTTTTTAACAGTCAAAAAAGAAAAGGAAAAAAGTCTCCTTATCCCCCCCTCCAGTGTAACCTGAATTAAGTGTGTTGTTTTCATTGGTGGTTGGTTTTATATTAGTTTTAATTTTCTATAAATAGAATATAGTTGGAGCAGTAGAAAGTATGATATTTTATTTAGTGGCTAGATTTTAGAAGCTTTTTTTTGCCTTAAAGATCTTCACTGTCAACAAATATTTAATTTCTATTAAAGGCATTAAGGAAACTCGAGACCTTTCCCTTCTTAAATCAGTAATACATAGAAACTTCTTCAAAGCTGCTAAATACTTAAACTGAGGACTGATTCTCAGAAATAGTGATAACTCTGATAAATATCTTAAAAATATGTATTTAGTTCCATTACAATGTGTCTGCCCTTTAGTTCTCATATTGTTTACTTATTAGTAAACATTAACATGTTTGTAATAACTGCTTTATAAAAAATTGGGGTAGTCTGTTTCATATTGGACTGTGACATTGTAACAGTTGCAGAATCGGTTTTGGAGCACTATGAAAGAAAATTTCCAATGACCAGTTTCCACTCTGAGTCTCCCCTTCAGGGTAGATTTCAGTAGCTAATTACATCTGTCTATCTTGATTGAGCTACTCATAGAATCCATACGTAGACTTTTGTTGAATCAAAAACCTGAAAGATAACTTCTCAGCAGTTGTTTAAAATGTCTAGGAGACCAAAAGTGTTTCCATTTTCTATCTGTGAAAATTAGAGCAAACAAAGTTACAGTTTACATTATTTTTGCCTGTTTTTTCTTCCCTATTTAGATCTAGTGGTTTTTTAAAGCAATAGACTCTCTCATGATGACTCTGCATTCTTACTAAACACTTGGAGATCCTTAATCACCATGCACTATTTACAGACAGCCCTTATCTATGAGAAACAACTTATCTATTTTTGTTTAGGTCACATTTTTAACAGTGAGACTTTTAAGATAAGTTTGTATATTGCTTGGAAGTATATAGTCTGTTGGAATACTTTGACCTTTAAAAAAACTTTCCCTGTTGTGTAAACTTTTAAAATAGAACGTCAACAAAATCTTCCTAAAGTCAGAAACAGTTTGCTTGTGGATTTAAAAGCTTGCTATGGGGGTGCCTGGGTGGCTCAGTCAGCTAGGTGTCCGACTTCAGCTCAGGTTGTGATCTCACGGTTTGTGGGTTTGAGCCCCACGTCGGGCTCCGTGCTGACAGCTAGCTTGGAGCCGAGAGCCTGCTTCAGTTTCTGTGTCTCCCTCTCTCTCTGACCCTCCCCTGCTCACGCTGTCTCTAGCTCTCTCTCTCAAAAAATAAATAAAACATTTGAAACAGACAAGCAAACCAAAAAAGCTTGCTATGAAACTTTAAATATATAGCTTTGCCCTTCTTGACCTTGTTTGGTTTTGGAAACATAACGGTCTTGCTCCTAAAAATGAAGCAATGACTACCAAGACTATCATATTGTTTTTTCCAGAGTAACATAAACATGTCAGAGCTGACAGCATTAAAGCTATTAGCTCTGTTTATCCAGAAAGGGCCACTTTTGAACAAAGTATTTAGAAGTGGAACAGAGTTGGAAACCTGTATCCATAAGAAGATTTCTACAAGCATGTTTATAGTAGCCTTATTTATAGTAGTTCCAAACTGGACGCAACCTGAATATTTAACAACAGGAGAGTGGATAAATAAATTATAGTATATTCAAAGTGGAATACTGGTTAGCAATAAAAAGGAATGAATTATTAGTGTTCCATGGATGAATCTCAGAAGCTTTATATTGAGAGAAGAAGTTTTGATACGAGACATCAGTGGTGGAAGAATAGACTAGAAAGGGCAGAAGAATACTTTCTTGGGTGATGGAGGATTTTGCATGTTTTTACATATTTTCAGTAGAGGCTACTGGGGTATATTTGTCACAACTCAGAGGTAAACACCTAAGATCTGTTTATTTTCTTGTATGTAAAATGTACCTCTTTTTTTTTTTAAAGAAATGGAACAAAAGGTGAGGTTTCTCAGTAGGAATGTATAAGAAACGACTAAGTTCAAACTAGAAAGTTGCTTTTATTAATATATAGATAATAAAGGTATTAATATATAGATAAAGGTATTTCTTAAAGGTAAAAGAATTTTATTTTAGAAAACTCTTTTTGAGAATTTGGGAAGATATTTACATAGTTACTATAAGTTATAAAAGTTTTTTCCCCTCTTCCTAGTTAGACCAACTGTATTTAAACATTAGTGTAATTAAAGGGGCGTCCGGTTGGTCAGTTGGTCAGTTGATTAAGCATCAAACTTCAGCGCAGGTCATGATCTTGAGGTTATGAGTTCGAGCCCTATGTCGGACTCTGTGCTGACAGCTCAGAGCTTGGAGCCAGTTTCGGATTCTGTGTCTCCCTCTTTCTCTGCCCCTCCCCCACTCATGCTCTGTCTGTCTCTCTCTCCTTCAAAAATAAATAAATATTTAAAAATAGTGTAATTAAAGATTATACGAGGCTTTGTGGGGAACAATATCAGTTTCATTAAAACATTTTCTGCTGTCTAACTACTTTGCAGTGTAAAATTCCTCAAGTCATCAGGTATTTATTGAGGACTTGGTTCCAGAAATGTTCCAGACACTGAGACACTGTTCTGTTCATAATAATGAATGGAAAAAAGATTTTTAAATTTATCATTAATTTCATTCTATTGGATTTTGGTCCCGAACAGTCTGTGTTAGGTTTTGAGTAGGAATAGTAAAACCATCCATTGAAAATATTTTACTTTCGGGGCGCCCGGGTGGCTTAGTCGGTTAAGCGTCCGACTTTCGCTCAGGTCATGATCTCGCGGTTTGTGGGTTCGAGCCCCGCGTCGGGCTCTGTGCTGACTGCCAGCTCAGAGCCTGGAGCCTGTTTCAGAGTCTGTCACTCCCTCTCTCTCTGACCCTCCCCTGCTCATGCTGTCTCTCTCTCTCTCTCTCCTCGAAATAAATAAATAAAACATTTAAAAAAAAAAAAAGAAAGAAAATATTTTACTTTCCTCTTTTT